GGCTATTTGTAAGTTAGTGAAATTTCTGTGTATAAAACTTTGTTTGTAATAATTAATCATAATACTTGCTATTGTAAATTATAGTGTTGTATATATATATTGAAACGTATTTATGTCAAAACAAAAACTGTGTGAATCAATTATATTGGAGAATAGCATAAATGAAATTAAATATCGGCATATTTCTAAACACTAAATCCAGGGCACGGTTCAACTATTGAAAGTTAATTATTTAACGCGGCCTTGGATTATTTCAAATTCTCAATACGTAACTTATAAAATACACAATACTGTGCATAGTAGCTAAATTAATGTAAGAACAAAATCTGAACAAAAATTGGGAACAAATTTTAACATTTTCACGTGGCCTCTTCACTCCAACACGGCTTTGTTGAAACTAGTTTCTTAGTCTCTGTGCTGATATTTAGAACGAGTAGTCTTACCCATGTAACTTGTCCTTTCTATAAAAACATAAAAGAGGTCATAACTTCAAGTTATCACTTGACTGCCAATGGAAAATATAAGTGTCTAACTTCACATACTATATACAACTTTACAGTTGTTTATAAGAAGAACCTACAAGTGAAAGTAAAGAAGAATGTAATAACATGTCAACCACACAATATCTGCTTATTTGCTATATCCAATGCCGACGAGACCTATTGCTCAATACCTGGACTCATGAGGCTGGCTGGGATACGACAGAGGTAGTGGTGGTCGAGAGTTATTTATATCATAAATTACTCTAACAACAACTGCTTCTGTGTGAACAATATTTATTGTTTGTCTTTTTTTTTTAAGCATTGCACGTCAGAATGGAGTTTATGATTTTTATGAATATCAAATTATTTATTTGTGTCAACACAATCTTGTTCGCTATTACAACTATTTATTTATTTTACTTGAATTAATTTTACTTATCATTCAGAAGATTTGGTGAACCACTTGGCTAGTGTTTTTGATCCTGAAGCAGGTCAAGTGACCACGGTGAACGGGAGAAGACTACATTAGTAATTATAAGAAGTTATGTGTGAAGGTAAGGAAGAAAGTAATTATATTGTTGCGTCAGCGAGGTCACGTGACTAGTATCACGCCATCAGTTTTCTAGAAATATCCTGTACCTTCAAGAATGCCATAGCATTTACTAGATATGTGTTAGTCTTGTATATATATATACGACGGTCACAACGTGACGGGGAACAGTGTATTAAGTAATTGAACTGCAGTCAGAGAAAATATTGTTGGCCACGTGAGATATAGCGTTTGTTATAACGCGACTGTTGAAATTAAGTGTATTGTAAATCTGTATTCGGAAAGAATAAACCAGTTTTATTAAGAAAGGACTTGTGTCGCTAAAGTTTCGTCGGAACGAAGTGACAGAAAATCAACTAACGACTGGAGGCGTAACAATATTTATACTACACCGTTTCTGCTAAATCCAACGATGACGAAGCCTTTCGCCCAATACCAGGGCTCGTCAAGCCAATTATTTTTCTCATAGGAAAACAAAAGTTATCACAGATGAATGACACAGAACAATCTGTAGCTAGTGTGAAAGTAACTTAACGAGTTTCTTGAATAATGCAATATATGGAAACTACCCACACACCTGTATAAATGAAAAGTTTTGAAAAATTCCAATAATAAAATAAGAAGGAAGAAAATGCATGGTATGCATATATCACAGTATGTTG